AGGCAGCAGTCTTGAATCTGTTCTGGATGTAGAACTCAGACATCTGGGCCATCTGTTCCTACCGGAGATTTCTCAAGTGGTCTCCCTGGATCAAACCTGATTATTCTTAACTCAGAATGAATCCACAGCCTCTCATTTTCTGTGAAAACAAAAGCAAAATGTCTTCTCCAAAGTAACATACCTTTTCACTTCAATTTTGAAAGTCAAGGTATTTTCAAAACACCTATCTTGGATTAATCCAGTGGCATTTATAAGCAAATATCTATTAGCAGCTGTTGCTCCTTTCTCAGCATTCAAACAATTCAAAGAGAGCACAATAACATAGAGTATCCAGATTCTCTGTGTATTTTTCATCTTTATGTGGCTTTATTTAAAACTTTTATTTTGACTTTTGACTTTTTGAAACAGGTTCTCTGTGTATCTTTGGCTGTCCTGGAACTCCCTCTGTAACCAGGTTGTCCTTGAACTCACAGAGATCTTCCTGCCTCTGCCCACCAAGTGCTGGGATTAAAGGCATGTGCTACCACACCTTGAACTCACAGAAAACTGTCTGCCCCTGTCTCTCAGGTGTTGGGATTAAAGGCATGTACCACCAAACCCAACTACTCTCTTTTTTATTTTAAGGACTTTAACCTCTTTCTTTACTCTCCCAAACTTGCATATATTTTTAACATACTGTCAATCATTTAGAGGTTTTCTTCATTTTTGAATCTCTCTTTACTATACTCTCTTTCTTTTTCTGACCACATGAGTCTTTAACTTGCTAAGCAATATGGGTAAGATTAAAGCCGTGCCTTTGACAGCTGGATCCAGCCCATTCCTTAGCTTTCTGAAATTCCAAGCTCATGGCTGACCCATGTTTATTGCCACAACTCTTAAATGAGAGTGCTTGCCTCTAGCAAGCAGAGCAGATCTGAGAAACTGCTGCTACCAAGAAGCCATGCTTTATTCTTTTCTGTCTAGAATTACTCCTCAAACTCTCTCAGGCTTTTTGTGGATATAGTTGTCCGTGTGGGCACCATTCTGTTGACTGAGGTTTCTGTCCTGCTTGGTTTCTGTCCTCCCACCAGGTCCCACAGCCATTTAGCCCCAAGGAAATCACATGAAGGTCTATATTAATGATAAATTGATTGGCCCATTAGCTCAGGCTTCTTATTAACTCTTATAACTTATGTTAACCCATTACTCTTATTTGTGTTAGCCACATGGCTCGGTACCATGTCACAAGTGTATGTGTCACCATGTATGGCCAGATTAGCTTTTTAGTTTTACCTATAGTAGCAAGAATGTATTTTAATTGTTTATTATTAGAGTTAGACTTAATTAGATATTTGAACATTTACATAAAATCAGCATTAGCTAAGAGGGCCTTAGACATATTATTTGTGTCTGTGTATAACACATTGACGAAGCGGGGTAGTGGTGATGCATGCCTTTAATCCCAGCACTGGGGAGACAGAGGCAGGTGAATCTCTGAGTTTGAGGTTTGTAGTCAGACTTTCCTTTGTGGGACTACCAGACTACAAATTATGACACAGACTTATTCCTGATTATGAATGCTTTACCGCTAGCTTAGGGTAATTCCCATCTAGCTCTTGTAACACAAATTAACTTGTTTCTATTAATCTACATTCTACTACATGACTTTTACCTCTGTATGACCAACTTGTTCTGTGTCTCACTGTGTCCATACCTCTCTCCTTCCCAGAGTCCTCTCTCTCCCCGGAAGTCCCACCTAGTCCCGCCTGCCTAGCTATTGGCATTCAGCTCTTTATTAAAGCAATCAGAAAGTGCCTTAGGCAGAGACACTTCTTTACAGTATACAAAAGTATTATTGCACAACAGAGGCCAACCTGGTCTACAGAGCAAGTTCCAGGACAGCCAGGGCTACATAGAGAAACACTATCTCAAAACAAAGAAACAAAACCCAAAACAATCAAAAAAGACACTGACATGCAAATAATTTTTAAATAATATGAACAACAATTCTCTCTGAATGTTTGGGAGGGGCATTACTGATGATTCTTGAGAAAGACCTCCGTTATGGAAACTTGCATATAATATTTCTTAAACAAGAAAAAAAATCTTTCATTTCTGTCTTTCATAAAATTTGCTCACCTTTTTTTCCTTCATATCTTCTCAAAGCTTTTCAAAACCTGGTCACTTTGTGAGAGTGCCTCTTTGTGGGTGAAAAATGGTTCAGCACGATTTCATATGGCTCAGCTTACTGTCTAGCCACCCTACACCATAGCATATAGCAGAGAGTAGCCCATTTCATTTGAATCTACATTTTTCATTATAATGTGTAATGTGCACTCAGACCATGTGTGCATTATTGTAGGTGACACAGTGAACACATCAGTCAAGCCCCTGCTTTCTGGCTACTGCAGTCCGACTAGAAGGGGCAATACCTTTTTGAAAGCTAATTGTACTTGCAAGTGAGGAATAGCTGGGAAACCTAACTATGTGAAGTTCAGCCAGGGTAGTGGTTTATGCCTGTAATTCCAGTCCTCTGGAGATGGAGGCAGGAGGATCAGGAGTTAAGGTCTTCCTGAGCTTTGCAGGGAGTTGGAGCAGAGGCTACAGGAATCTCGAACAGAACAGCAGAAAAATAGAACAAGGTGTATGCACACTGCTTTGGGGCCACCGGACAGCATGACCCTGAGTGTGTCTACTTCCTTTGCTGGGTGTAGATGGTGCTACCAGGAACCAGCCAAGACTTTGGTTCTCTGGGTTATTTTAGGCTTGGTGAAACTGGTGTGGGCAACTAACTGGTGACTGATCCTGGACTAAACGCCCTAGAACAGATGGCAGCCAGTATCTGGGACTCTCCAGTGATTTTTTTTATATTGCTTTATGATCAAACATCTCACTCTTCCTCCCCACCCTCAACACCCTCTAAGCACCTTCTCACTTTCATGTCTTTTTGTTTCTCTTTTCCCAGCCACTGAATTTAACTGGTACTATCTCCGTGAGCATGGATGTGGTTGAATCCAAATTAGAATCAAGACTGACATCAAAATCTCCTTTACTCTCTATATCCTGATATTTGGTTCCACTATTCAGAGTAATATATTATATATCTTATATACATTTGCAGATGTCGGCTCTAAATTTCATTAATCACACTTAGATTTGAGGAACATTACAGTGCTACACGTTTATGTGAACAACCCCTGCCCCCAACACTCAACATATGTACTTACAAACATTTAAACATGGTAAAAGTAAAAAATTAAAACGGAGCTCACGCCTTTAATCCCAGCATGCAGGAGGCAGAGACATGCGGATCTCTGTGAGTTTGAGGCCAGCCTGGTCTACAGAACAAATTCCAGAACAGGTTCTAAAAGCTACAGAGAAACCCTGTCTCAAAAACAAAACAAAACAAAAAAACCCAAAACCGAACCAAACAAACAAAAAATCAAAAACAAAACAAAACAAAAAACCCAAAATAAAAAAATTAAAACGGACTAAAAAGACTTGTATAAAATTCTTGGTAGGAACTATTTGGACGGAGGGAAATTAACTTGGCTGTGTAGTGGTATAGTAGTGGTATAGGGGGAGTCAGTCCAACTTTCCTGTCTATAAATTTACATTTTCATATACTCTGAGAAAAATTTATATTTAAGTGAAAAATTTTAACATTTGTTTACTTAATGACAGGTATCCAAATGTTTATATCGTAATTGCCCAGACTTTCTGAATAAGAGAACTTGATAAAAGTTAAATTTTATGAAAGTTAAAAACTGAAAAGTTGAAGTTCAAGCGTGATTTTGTTAAAGACCATGGTGTTTGGTAGGTTAGAAGAATAGAGAAAACTCGATTTTATTTTAGTTTGTATGTCAATGAATTTGAAGAGCCAGAATGAAAGTAGTATAAATTTCATGGTAAATAAAGAATGTATCATTCCAATGATGGAAGGAATGGCATTTATTGTATGAGGACTTTAAAATTGTGAGTATGTGTGTGTGTGTGTGTGTGTGTGTGCGCGCCCGCGCGCGCGTGCCAGGGCGCCCATGCGGCGCGCTGCACGCTTCAGTGCGGGTGCGCTCCGCTCCCAGCCGGACTTCACGAATTCGGAGCGGGCTTTCCCGCATTCCGCAATCGGTAGTAACATCAGCCACGAGGAGCTCGGAGGATTCTGGGAAGCATTTTCTGTTTTGTTTGTAACCATGGGAAAAATTTCACTCGGTCCTAGAGGGATCCGCGTTCATTCACCGATTCGTTTTAAAAGTCACCCGCCACTGAAATAGAGTAAAACTGAAAAAGAAACAATTCTCAGTACGTCTTGAAACAATTTTTTCAAACACAGTTTACATTTACAGTTGGAATTCATGATGCGTATGGTTTTCTTCTAAAACTATTTAGAATCTTGAATTTTTAGTAATAAAAGATTGACAATTTATTGCGAGTTTTAGAAATTCTTCAGGAGGCAAGTGTGGACATGAGAGTTTATCTCATATATTTTCTTTGTTTAAATTTGTTTGAAGGCGAACTTTCCACAAGTTTGATCGGTGAGAACGTTTTCCTCCGATTGTGTGCCTGTACAGAATCAGTTCTAACAAATGTGGAAAATTCTTTGTGTTCGTCTGTATTTACTGTGTACGTGGAATTTTTTTTCAGCGATAGAAAAATATTCACAAATACAGAATCAGATTTGCTGCCAATTTCTAATTTTGTTCTGAGATATCTACATCATAGAATCAAGCAAATCAAAGAGCAAACCGCTATGGTCAGGAGACTTTTCATTTTTAATATTATCAACAAATTTAACTGAAGCAGTTAAATCTGTGTGCTCTCTGCCCATTTTTAAAAACGAAAGGAAGAAAGAAAGAAAGAAAGAAAGAAAGAAAGAAAGAAAGAAAGAAAGAAAAACAAAAAAACCTCATAGCGGGACATAAAGTGCTGAAATCGTCCCCTAGGAAATATTTACTCTCAGGTCGGCTTGGCGTTTATGCTGACGTCTCCTTAGCTTTTGCTACAAGTGCCGTTGTGCGGTGAGATAGTTTGCCTCCGCTCGGCCACCGTCCGTCAGCCCTCAGCATATTTTGTCCTCCGGCCGCCGCCGTTTCGGATTACTCACGGCTCGGAGTTCGGAGGTAGGGAGAGGTATCTGTTTCGCGGAAGCTGGCTGGTGAGGCCGGCACCATGGAGTCGCCTTTTAGTCCGGGATTTCCTCACGTACCAGAGGAAGACTGGGGTGAGTGGATCTGCGAATCGGGCCCCGTCTGCGGGGTTTTCCTCCCGGTTTCCGCCTGGCGGCGGTGACAGGTGGGGGCGAACCTTGCCCAGGGAGCGAGGCCACGGACTGGGGGGTCGTGGAAGGGACTGGCAGAACCACTGGGCTTCTGTCCTGGCCGCAGCGACGTGGAAGTGATGTTCGAATCGGGGAAATCGCTGTAGTTTTTCAGCGTGTGTTCCTGGTGGAAATACCAGGTGATCTTGAGGGACCAGAACTCAGCAGGATGACTCTGGCTGCCGCTCCAGGCAATTTTCTCAGACTGTGGGTTGTGGTTGGGAGTGAAGTGTGTGTGTGTGTGTACGCGCATGTGAGCACTGCACGTGCGCGTGACATGTTTGAGAAATATGGTTGAAATACAGAGAAGAAAATCCTTATCTCTCAGCTGTCATTGTTGATTTAAGGCATAAATCCAAATTGGCAAAGAAACAAAGGTCCCAAGCACCTGACCCATGTCCCTGATTACTAGATCCACCATAAACTGATGTAATCCTGACTGCTGTCCAAACAGCTCTGTAATCTCTTGTTAGACCTTGCTTGGTTTTGGTATTCAGGAAGGATGGGATGGAGAATTGACACCGGACAAGTGTTGTCATCCGAATCCTTAGAAGAACCTGTATTCCTCTTTTGATTATAAGACAGGGATCCAATATGAAGGTACCTCAGTGGATCCTGTAGTTAGACTACACTGTTCTTTAGCGTTGTGATTTTGTGGTGTTATTTTTTCCTGGGGCCAGACCAGCATTCCACCACATGAGCGGACTCTCAACTAGAATGCATTGAACATCCTAGTTTAATTTTCCAGTGGCAGATGTGGTCTACAATTACAATCTATGAGAGATTTATTTTAATTGTTGGGCAGATTTTCGAAGACTTTATGGAAAAAACTTTGGGGGTCCATTCTCCAGTGCCTTTCCCCAGCTAAATGTTTTGTTATAGTAACATTAGCCACTTGCTTAGAACCTTGTTTTTGTCAGCTATCCAACTAAGCATGCTATGTGTGTTATTCGTGGCCACAACAGTCCAACAAGGTCCTGCCGTCCTTTAGATGCTGAAACTGAGGCCAACAGAATTTGCACTCAGTTTTAGAGAGGTGTTGAATGGTAAAAGTAGGATTAGAACCAAGGCTGTCTGTTTGTGCCTCTGGTTTTTCACTCTGTAACACTTTCCTCGCTTTTTCCTAAAGGTGGATTTTTTCCTAATGCTTCTTTCTGATTTTAACAAGTCTGCTTCAGTTATAGTTATGGTTTGTTTTCTCAACCATTTGGCCCTCATATTTTCATGGCATTTCTTAAACTGTAACACAAAGCACTTTCTGATAGCATTGTTTTGTCTTGTTTTCTGACTCTCGGCTGCATTTTCCTAACTCCTAGACTTGATTCTTTAATGGAACACTCAGTTCTCTGTAGTCAGTTGACTGACTCCATTCTCAGGTATCCTGCCCCATTTCTCCTGAAGTACGCTCTTTCCCTGTTGTGTTTTAAGTTTCTTTTTTTTCAGACTGTTGACAATTATCTCTTGGATGAGCGATTTTTTTCCTTTAGGTGTTCAGTAGGTAGGATAGATTTTCCAGGTGTTAGACACTATTGTTTACTGGGGTTTCTCAAAAGAATAATGGATTCTTTGGGAGTTGCTATTTTGGACGTTTAATTATTTTATTGATGTATTGATGTTTTAAAAATAATTTTAGCAACTTCTCTGTTTTAAAAATTTTAAAATCAGATTTTATAGCTAGTGTTTCTTATGATTAACAACTTGAACAATTTGAAGGAAATTATCTCAGCACAGGATGTGATGGAATGTGCTTTTATTCATTTATTTTCTAAGTGTGATTAATGAAATTTAGAGCCGACATCTGCAAATGTATTTTGGAAAGGTCCACATGGCAGATATTTTGGGCATCACCATCATGTGGCCTGTGTTGCAGCTGCTCCGCCATGGTGAAAAAGCAGTCATAGGAGGTGCAGATGGGTGAGAGTGGCCGTGTCCCATAAAAGCTTATGGAGACTGAAATTTGCATTTCACATAGATGTATTCATTAATTCTTTACTGAGAATCTTTTAAAAGCGTTGTTTTGCTGTGCAGCTCAGGCTGGCCTCATGCTTCTGATATTCCTGCCTTAGCCTTCTGAATGTTGGGATTATAGGCATACAGTACCATGCCCGGCTCACATCATGGTTGTTGTTGTTAGGTCTTTTGAGACAAGGTCTTGCTATACAGCCTAGGGTGGCCTGCAACTTTCATAAATCTCCTGCCTCTGGCTCCCCAGTTATATCTAGTGTATTACTTAATGTCTTTGTTAAATGCAGCTTAGATTTTTAGAGTAATCGTGCTGATAGGACATGTAATTCCGTAGATGCCCCCTCTACTGGTATCATCTTACATGACTATGCTGGTCAGTTGGTTATTTTTGTTTGTTTTGTTAATTTGACACAAGCTAGAATTATCTGGGAAGACAGAACCTCTATTGAGAAAATTCTTCCATTAGATTGTCATGTAGGCAGGTCTGTGGATCATTTTCTTTTCTTTTTCTTATTAATGATTGATGTGGGAGAGCCTAGCCCGCTGTCAGTGGTGCCAATCCTTGGCAGGTGGTTTTGGGGCTTTGGGGTGCATAAGAAAGCAGGCTGAGCAAGACATGGGGAACATCATTCATCTATGACTTTGGCTTCAGTTCCTGTTTCTAGGTTTCTGCCTTGTTCCTGCCCTGACTTCCCTTCATACAGATAGTGACTGGGATGTGTAAGCCAAATAAACCCTTTCCTCCTCAAGTTGCTTTTGGTCATGGTGTTTCATCACAGCAGTGGAAGGCAAACTAAAGCAATTAGTGTGGAACTTTGTTCAGATGGATGAACTAGTGTTGATCAGTCTTTTTTTCTTTCTTTCTTTCTTTTTTTTTTTTTTTTGAGACAGGGTCTCCAACTTGTCCTGGGACATTTGCTGTAACCCAAGCTTGCCTTGCATTAATGCTCTTGTCTCAGCTTCCCAAATACTGGACTTATAGGCATGAGCCACCGTCACTGGCTTGGTACATTAGTATTAAGTGAAGGATGAACCTTATAGGGGTTTTGACAAGCACAATGCCATGGGCCATCATTACAGTGTTGTGCAGAGTAGGGTGAGAGCGTCTCTCTCTTGCACATTCCCTATATTCCATCCACTCATCCCCCCTTCCTTTCACCTGAGTAGTCCCACACCCATAATAGATCTTTTTGCTGTCTCCACAGTTTTGCTTTTGTTGTATAGTTGGAACCATGCAGTATGGAACCTTTTCAAATTGGCTTCTTTACTTAGTAGCGTGCATTTGAAGTTCCTCTGTGTCTTTCTGTGCTTCGATGGTATATTTCTATATTATAAATTATAAATATCATTTCTTATATTTAACAAATAGTGCTAAATATAAGGGTTTTGACAAATGTTTAATAACACTGATCTGACACTACAGAATCCTACATGCTATAGAGGATGCTAGCATGCTCAGGTTTTGATGCTAGCCCTTTCTTGTCTTGTAGATGGCTGCCTTCTTGCTGTGTCCTCCCATGGTGTTGAAGGAAAGCATTATCCTCTTCTTCCAGATTCATTTAGCCTCAGTAATCTCCTCAAGACCCTGTGTCAGATATAACCATCTTGGGGATTATAGTGCTCATATAAATTTTTGGAGGACATAATTCACTTTAGAGCACACAGTTTGTGTGTCTGTTTACATGTTGACACCGTGGTTGCTTCTGATTTTTGGCAGTTAGACACGAAGGTGCTCTAACCATCTGTGTGCAGATTTTTTTGTTGATGTAAGTTTTCATATCATCTGGACTGGTCCAGAGGCGCTCAATTACGGATCATATATTGTAATTTGGTTTATAAGAAACCACCAAGCTTGTACCATTTTGTGTCTCCACCAGCAATGAGTGGATGTTTCTGTTTGAAGGCTTTTGCTGTTGCCAGTACTTGGAGTTTAGCCATTTTAACAGGTGTGTGGCGGTCCTTGTTTTAATTTGCAATTTTCTAATGTTACATGGTGTTGAGCATCTTTCCTGGCTAGTTTACAATCTTAACTTTCCCTCTCCTTTCTTCCTGTCTCTCTTGCTTGAATTGTTCAAAAACTTCTCTTTCTCTCTCTCTCTCTCTCTCTCTCTCTCTCTCTCTCTCTCTCTTTCTTTCTTTCTTAAAAGCCACTTGAGATGTATGTCAAGATGAGAAGCGTCCTGCTGCTGCGGTTTCTCTCATGTCTTTAGTATCTTCTTTGAAGCTTCTCTTCCTTTTTTTGCACTAACCAAAGTGTGACACTTGATGACACAAAGTTCTGGTGAAAGCCTTCTGTATCCGGCACCGCAGAATATAGTAGGTGTCTTTTTTTTTTTTTTTTTTTTTTTTTTTTTGTCCTTCTCTGCCATTTCTAGGACGTGCTCCTTTCCCCCACAAGCAATGTCTAGGTGTCAGTCTTATCTTGTCAGAGTATGCAATCTTCCACCTCTTCCTGTTGCAGAGACCTGCTGATTCTTTCGTCACTTTCACTGGGAAATGTAGCTACTAGCTTACTGGAGCTTTCTCTGACATTACCTGCTAGGATTTTTGGCTATTTCAGTAGCTCGGCCGGTCCATTCCCTGCCTTATTACTGATGATTGTTCCCTAAAGCGTCTTTCTGCAGCCTCTGGCACCTCCTCTTTCATGCTCTGAATCAGAACTTTTAGTTCTTGCTTCATTTCCCCCACCACACACTTGCCTTCCCTCCATACAGATGCTGAAGTTGGCTTCTTGTTCCTAGATTGAATCCGACCTTCTCTGTGTGTTTCAGATCGCTACCCTTTATTGAAAGTTGCTCAAGCTGTTTTCCTGATGCGTATAGTATTTCTCCCATCTCTTAGAAAAGAAACGCTTAGTGATTTCACTTCTCCTATTTGGAGGAGGGGGCAATGCCAAACTCTCCTTAGATGTTACTTCCCTTCTTGCTGTTTCCACATTT